TGGCTCTTCCTGCCATTTCCTTTCATCCCTCTCCTTCCCAGACTCATCTACCCATCAACCATTACTTGTGTTTGTTGAATTATTTGGGGATACCACTCGGCAAGGAAACCAAACAAGTGTGTGACCTGTTTGCTGCCTCTGCTCTCTGGGTGAGAAGTTAACACCCAGGAAGCAATTTGGGGAATATTCAAGTCGATACACAATAAAGTGCTACACTGAATACAACTGAAACACTTGGCTTCTGATGAATACAATGAGTGGTCAGAAAGGGGAAAATCATGTTTCCACTTGGCTTATAAACTTGGGGATGGGTGTGCGATCCTGAAAAAGATTCATAAACCAAACCAAGACAGTGAAGGGAAACTGCCATCTTTTCATGTTCTCCTTTAGTCTGTATTTCTGAAGTTCTTCTATGGGCTGAGCTATTACTATTACTATTGTGGGGACCCAAAGATGGCAAAGCACAGTTCTATTTTGAGGTGGTGGTATCCCTGTTTATTATAGTTATCTATCTATATTTTTCTGTTATCTGAGCCCCCTATTTGGAAGAGACGATCTACATATAAGTTTGTTATTCTATACTAAGTACTCACTAGTGAAGTCTTTTGCTTCTAGCAGCAACAAGAGCTACTCTGTGGGATTTCTGTGAACACTTTAAAGAATTTTGAATCATGAATTGGCTGAAAGTAAAAAGAAGAATGTTTGAGGTTCACTTGGGCAGAATTATCAAGTGTGCAGTCTGTCGTCTCCTTATTTTAAAAATAATGTATGCCTCTTTTTTTGGTTATAAAACTAATTCCTGTTTATTGTAGAACATTTGGTAAATTAAAAACATATGTGAAGAAGAAAATTCACCCATGATTTCTCCATGCTTCCATGTTGCTGATATACAGTCCTGACACAAACATTAGCAAAATCGTGACCATGTCATGTATGCCGTTTTGTATTCATCTTTTTCCCAGGTCATAAAATACTTCTCAAAAACATGACTCATAAAAGCTGCAAAAGTAGACCCATCCAACAATAATTCTTCTAGAAGACATTGGTTAATAAAGTGTTTTAGAAGATATATGTGGATATTTTTCATCTCCAATTACTTGAGGGTTGCAATTAATCTTTAGGTTTTCCTCCCCTATCTATATAGCTTTTTTGCAAATATGAATAAGATTGATTCCACTATTAAAAGACAAAAGAAATATATTTTCCCTTGAAATATCTGTTATAAGGATATTAAAATTAATTTTAATATATGAATCTTTTTTGTAAAATATGGAGAATGTTTTTTTCCTTCTAGATGTTATTTTTAGAAAAACCTGTAACCAACATTGAAGGATAAAATTCTCTGTGCAAAATGCTTCTTTTACTTGGTCCATGATTCAGGAAGTCTACTTATTGGTTTATACATGGTGAAAGATTAAATTCACTTAGACTATCTTAGGTGATGCAGATGGGAATCTTACAGGATTCTGGGAAGAGCTGCCTTTGGACCTCACAGATGCTGAACACCAACACCTAGAACTGAAACTGTAGGAAATGGGCTATCTCATTGTCCCCTGGATAGCAGGACTTCATTGACCTTCATCTTTGTTACAGTGATTCATTTTACTGCCTCTATTTCTGTGGCTCCTTTGTCACCAATTCCTTCACCCTCTATATGTCTTTTTTCTGCCTAATGCCTTCAGTTTGCTCATAACTTGCCCCTCTTAGGAAGCTACTGCCTCACCCCCACCATATGATTGATTTTCCTTTCCATTTCCAGTTCATATTCTTGAAAGAAAATGGGTGGAGGTAGTCACCATGATCCCTGTTTGGGTAGAATGTTCCCATCAGGTCACCTTTTAGGTCTGCCTGCCCTTTAGTTCTGTGAAGGGGGTTGTATGGCATAGATCATAGTTTAGGCTGCTGCCTCAGCTAGGGGAACTGGCTGGAGTAGCTCTCCTAGAAGGGAAATCTGGCACAGCAAGACAGAATGACCTCTTAGTCACATTCTTTTTGTTTTGATTTAAAATATATATATATATATATATATATATATATATATATATATACTGATTAAATTAATATATTTTTCATTCAATTTTGTCAAGGCAAAATTCTCCTCTTTCATTTAAAATAGTCATGTTACATAGAAACAAAGCATAGATTAGTGGTTGTTAAACACTGGAGAATGGGGAAAACAGGGAGATTTTGATCAAAGGGTACAAACTTCTAGTTATAAGATAAATAAGTTCTGTGGATGTAAAGTACAGCATGGTGATTATAATAATCAATACCGTGTCATATATTTGAAAGTCGTTAAGATTTCAAATGTTCTCACCACACACACACAAAGAGAAAGAAAAAAGGTAACTATATGAGGTGACGGATGTGTTAAGTAACCCTATTAATAATTTCACTATATACATACATGATTTATATATATATAATTATAATACTGTACACCTTAAACTTACACAATGTTATATGTCCATTATATCTCAATAAAACTGAAAAAAAATAGTCATATTACCTAGCTATTTTCTGGCTGATATTAATAGAAATATATTCGAGCTAAATGTTCCTTAAAGTTTCAGAAATTTAATATCACAGGGAAAATGTTTGTGCTTTAGAATGTTCAACTGACATTTTAATAAACTTATTTGCAAGAAGGTAAATGCATTTTAATAGTTAATGTAGAATTGTGCCTGTGGCCATCAAAGGCTAGCAAAGATGGGTAGGGAAGGTCTGGAATATGCTGACTTTAATAAAGTAGGTTAAAAGCATTTCCCTTTTAAGATAGAATGTTCTCAGGCATTTTCCTGGTGCTTTGCTGCTAAAATATTAATAGTTACATGTAACAGTTAACTTAGACTGTTATTGTTGAAAATAACTTTTATATGCACAAATTGTGATAAAAAGGAGAATGGATTACAAACATAAATATGTATTTTGGTTTTACTCTAGAAGTAAGACAACTTAAAATGCTTTCTACATCATCTTACCACAGCAAAACGGGAAGTGAAGTCAGGCTGTCAACTGCTTCCTGTCTTCTTGCAGAAGGAAACAAATATGTAACTATACTAGGCAGCCTTCAATTCTCTCTCCACTCAATCATTCCTATGCACAGTCCTGATTTGGTATTAGTAAAATGTTATGCTGTCATTTCTATGTTCTCAGCCCTGGGTGTATGTTCGAACCACCTGGGAAGCTTTTAAAATAAACCTTACTTCCAAGGCTACCCCCTCCCCCAATTTTCTGATTTATTTGGTGTGGGTATGGTTTAGGCATTTATATTTTTAGGAAGCATCCTAAGTCATTCTTAGAAGCAGGCAGGAAGCCACTTGGCAAAAGGACAGAACCTGAACATTTGAATTTGCATTGGAGGTGCTCTATTTTCTATCCCCAACTAGTTTGCCAGGCTCTGGCAAGCCCAAATGGCCTCTCATGCCCTCTGTCAGTCGCTTGTGCTTCTCCTCTTCTGCTCCTTTTCCAGGCATTCCAACAGGTTCTTCCTCACGCACACATTTTTTTCCTGGTTCACATTCCTGTCCATTCATCACTTCCTTTGTGAAACTTTCCCTGACTGCCCTTGACTGAAGGGCTTGCTCTCTCTTCTGAACTCAGACAGCAGTTATTGCCTAGGCAGTTCTCTGAATAATTACTCAATCATGTACTGCTTTGTGTCATCTCTTTCACTGTTGTGTTGGATGATTAATCTTTGCTTAACTTTTTCCTTGTTATCCAGCTATGTATACTGTAAACTTCCAACATTTCTTTGTATTCTTGTCAAGCTGAATGCCTTGCAGAGTGCAGAAAGTCAACACATGTTTGCCCCCCCTTCTATCCCTACTTCCACAGGTGTGGTTCAAGCCTTCATCTCTCCTGGAGTTTTGTCCTGATCCTAATGGGCCATCCTGACACTAGACTCTCTGGCTCTTTAAATCAGGGCAAAACATGGTGGCTCACCTGGATAAGGGCCAGTAGAACTGAGTGTGTGAGTGTGTGTGTGTGTGTGTGTGTGTGTGTGTATACTCCGCTGTTCACTCTTGCTCTCTCCCTGTTTAATGAGCTAGCTGATCCTTTGGATTTCTTTTTCTTTTTGGCCCCTCACTCTCCTATTCGCTGTTCTGCCAGGACTTGATAGCAGAATTCAATTTTCTCTGGTTTTGACTACTTGTGTTCTTTAAGATGTCAGGGTATAACATACTCTTTCCCCTTTTTGGCGAAAACCTAGAATGACTTCCTATCTTCCAGGTCGAAGGTCCATTTTTCTTCTAATTAATTCTGATTGGATTTGAGAGAGATGTGGTAGGAGAAATTGACAAGGTTTACAGAGGGACTGTATGTAGGAGCTGGCTCAGATGTGCTCAGGTTCCGGTCATTACACAAAATAATGTGTTTGGGAGAAGAGTAGGGAGGGAAGATTGAGGGTGGGGGGAGGGAGAGAATCCATGGAAAGAAAATTGGGAAACTGTATTTGACATTTTTCCAGGCCAAGGCCAAAAGCAACGATATGATAAAGTGGGAAGAGTTTTTATTACCATTTTGTAAAAACATACATTTTTTTTCCTCTTAGAATTTGATAAGATTTTGATAAATTTTTGTGTCTCGAATTACTGGGAACTAAATCTTTAAGAAATTAAAATATCAATTAGTTTCTCTTCTGTGATTATGGTTAATATCACTCCAAAAGTCTTATTTTCTTCTGAGAGGGCCATAAATCCTAACGATTTAGAGATTAAGAGACCTTCTCTGATCACTACTGCCTATCCGTTGCCGCCAACCTTACAGTCAATCATCTCCCCTCGGGACGCTCCGACCACGCCCACTACTTAGACCACGCTCACCTAAATCGCCCTCCCTCCCACCTCACGGATCCGCCCAGACCGAGAAGAGAAAGATTGTCATTGGTGGAGAAGTTGTTCTGGTCCCGCCCCAGGCGACGGCGATAGGTCGAACTGGCGTGGGGCGGTGGTGGTTGGTTGCCTGAGGACGGGTCCCCAGTCGTGCCTGTCAGAGTAGCTGGCGGCAGTGGCGGCTCTCGGAGCTGGGTTGTCAGTCAGTGAGCGGAGGGGGAAGATGGCTCGTCGAGACCCGTTTTGCTAGGAAGAAGGGGGGTCGGGTGCTACTGCTACCCGGGAAAAGGCAGAGCGGACGCCTGCGCCGTCGCTGTGAGCCAGACTAGTCGAGTTCTGGAGGTGGAGCTCAGGGAGTCACTCTGGTGAGTCCGGTCGAGCGACCCGCAGCGGGCCCCCAGTGCGGCCGGCGACCGATAACTTTTTTGTCAGGGAGGAGCCGGGGCGAGGCGGCGACGGGGAGGAGACCGGGACTTTGTCTCTCGGGCGGCGACTTCGTTGCGGGTAACGGCTGCCGCGCGAGGCGTCGCAGCTGGGCGCAGGACCGCGCTGGGCACCGGGGGCGTCGCGGGCCGCGAGCGGCGGGGCCAGTGAGTGGGCGGCGGTCGGCGGTCGGCGGTTGCCGGTCCGAAGTTGGGCGCAGCCCTCCTGCTGCTGCCTGGGCGTCGGCAGCTTTGTGCGCGCGGACTCGCGTCTTTCTTCCTCCCGGCGAGGAGCGGTCCAGACTCCGGGCGTACCCCGGGTGCCGGCCGCCCCTCTGCGGAGTCGACCCCGCGGCTGATGCTTCGGCCTGACCCTCCCATCCCCTCTTCCCAGTCCAGCGAGGCTACCGCGCTCAGTCCGGTCTAGTGGCCAAAATGGTCACCGTCGACCCCCCTCGTTCTTTGAAAGCCTTCTCTTGGGTCTTTGGTCCCCTGCAGGACGTAGAGATTCAGAAAGCACCTACGATTCCTTCCTTGGTTATTACTCCGGAGATCTCTTCGGCCTTTGCCGCCTTCCTTCTATGAGTTATTGCTCTCCCGAGGCTGATTTGAACATACTCAAGAATCGTCTGGGTTTTGTGTGAAAATTGCTGCATTTAAAGACCCAAGTTTGCACCCTTCCGCCAAACCGGGTATCCGTCCTTCAGTGTGCACATGTGTGCTTTGTACAGAGTTTAGACATTCCTGAAAGATTTTAATTTTGCCCTAGTGGTTTTGACTGCACAGAATCGGCTCTCTGATAAACACACTATCGCGCGTCCGCAGCCACTCGGCTCTTCAGGTAGGGGGAGTTTGTTCACCGGCCTGGCAGCTGCTACTTATCTCCGAGACCACACTACAGACAGGAGGGCCAAGCAGTCCTTTGGCAAATTATTTGTCCTTTGAATCACACGTAGTTTTTGGAGCAGGTATGCCCCCTCTTTGGTTCATGTAACACTTTACAGTTTGAGATTTTTCAGCTTTTAAAATCTTATCTGCATAAAGTCATATGGATCAGTGTAACCTTGAGTCAATGTTACAGTCCCGGGAGGCTTGTTTTCCTTAAGAACATTCTCTTAACATCCAAACCCTATCTCCTCTACGCCCCCCTCCCACCCACCACCAAGCATTTTTTTTTTTTTTTTTAGGTTAATACATTTTAAGGTTTGCAAGATGAACCTTAATACATTTTAATAACCTTAATACATTTTAAGGTTTGCAAAGCACCTTATTTTTAAAGTGCAGGGAAAGATAAGAAAGAAAAAAAAATGTCTTTAGGATCTACTTGGCCAATAGTATCTTCAAAGCCAGTTATTCAAATAATTCATATAAACAAAATGGCAAGGGAGAAAGCCATTACATATTTAGAAAACAAATTCTGGATTGGGCTTATTCTTTTTTGATTTATTATTATTATTAGCAGAGAGTGATTATAAACTCTTAGTTATCAGCATTAACAGTAGTACCTGGACATGGACATCCAGGTAAGGCAGTGGCCAGATCAATATGTTATTCCTACTATGCTTCCTTTCTTTATTGTATTTCTCTTTTCTGAAATCTCTTGGTTGCATTTTTTTAGAGTGGTGTCATTTTGACAGAGTTTAAAAATGTCTTATAGTCAAGGTATTTGACTCTTTTATTCAGCATCCTGTTGTCTGATGTTTATTTTATAATGAATATTAAGAAATCTTTAAATGTTGATATCAAGACCATTTTTAGGGTATCAGTTTTCATTTTGTAAATAACTGAAATTATGACAAATTTATTTTGTAGTGACCCACACTGATAGGTATTAGGGATACAGAAATGAATGTCATAGCTCTTGTCATCAAAGAATTTACTGTCTAATTTACAAGACAGATAAGTAAAATAACAATTATAATACCATGTGATAAGTGTGATTAGAGATAAGTGTAGTGTAGTAAGGGAGCAGAGTAGGAGAAAGTTAACAACTTGGTGTAGGTAGAGTCAGGAGCACACAGTAGAGTTTTAAAGTATGATATATTTTTGTCAAATGCAGGAGGTAAGTGAATAACTTTCCAAGAGGAGAATATAATAAGTGAGAAGGAAAGGAGGTGTGAGAAACCATGACAGTTTAGAGAACTGACAGTCAATGACAAGTCCAAAGTCAGTAACACTGACATTGACATGACCTGAATGCAGGGTTTAGGGAAATGGTAGAAGATGAGAATCGTGAGGGTGGTAGATGGCCAGACCGGGTATATGGATTGAAGGTGAACAATAAGGAGCTATTTAATGGATTTGTGTTTTAGACCCTCACCCTGACAGAGTGAGATAGAATCTAATAGGTTCTGTCACTTTTGGGAAGAAAGGAGGAGGAATCAGGCCTTGAGGATTTGACTTTGTTCCATTGATTGGAAATGAGGAACACATAAATGGAGGGAAGATAATAAATTTTTTTTTTTTTTTATCCTGACCCGAGGACATTTTTTGTTTTTTGTTCAGATAGAGTGGGAGGGAGGGAGAGGGAGAGAGAGAGAGAGAGAGAGAGAGAGAAACATTGACATGAAAGGGACACATCGAGTGGCTGCCACCCACGTAACCCAACCAGGGCCGGGGACAAACTGCAACCGAGGTACATGCCCTTAGCGGGAACTGAACCCAGGTCTCTCTGGACCGCGGGCCAACGCTGTAACTGCTGAGCCAAACCGGCCAGGGCGAAGATGATAAATTTTATTTTTGATTTCTTGAATTTGAGGAAGCTATTGGAGCGTTCAGGTGAAGATGTAGGTATTTGGATCTATGAAAATGTGGAATTTATAAAGAAAATCAGGATTAGAGGGAGGATTGGGGGTTAAATTGAAGCTGTATTGATTTGGTTATGTTGAAATGACTCTGGGAAAGCTTTTAGCATGATAAAAGCAGCAACCAGAGAAAGAAATCAGAAGAGTAATATGAAAGAGATAGAAGAAGACTGTAGTAGTTAGAGAAAGGTGGGAGGGCCATCAGGACAGATGCTAAGGGTGGAGAGATTTTCAGATAGAGGGGGAATAAATCAACAGTTTTGAATGTTGGAAAGAGGTGTCAAGTAGAGAGGATTCTGGGGACCAGTGAATTTGTCAGGAGTCATAGGTGACTTTAAAAAGTACAGTTTTAGCTGAGTGGTGATTCAGAAACCAGTCTTCAGAAAATTGAGAAAGAATGGGTGATGATAAAGTAGACATGCTTGAATGAGGTGTATTTCAAGAAAACTGAAAGAATGGAGAGAGGGGATAAAGATAGCTATAGAGCAGTGGTTCTCAGTCTTAACTGCACGTTTACAATACTCTGGGGAGCTTTTAAGAATGCCAGTTTCCAGGGGGAATACCTATACTAATTTGTGGGGTGGGATCTAGATATCAGTATTTATTTCCAGGGGGAATACCTATACTAATTTGTGGGGTGGGACCTAGATATCAGCTTTATTGAAATATAGTTGACATTTAATAAACTACACATATTTAAAGTGTGCAGTTTGTTTGACATCTGTTTACACAATAAAAATAATGAACATATTCATCATCTCCAAAAGTTTTCACGTGTCCCTTTGTAATCTTTTCCTTTCATCCCTGGAAACTAGTGATCTACTTTCTGTTACGATAGATTAGTTGCATAGGTATTTTAAAGTTCCCTGGGTGATTCCACTATGCAGACATATTGAAAACCACTATAGAGGGGTACAGGTTGAAGGAATGTTATGTTTGTTTCTTTACATTCTTAAGGAAAGCAAGAAATAATATATTCAGGAAAGATTAGATATTTATTGGAACTAAGTCCCCGAGACAGTAGAAGTGGTTGGAATTTAGAGCTTTGACAAATAAGAAAGGAAGACAATTCTGGAAGCAACGTCTCTAACAAAGAATACAATGTTAAAGATAGTATATTTCTTTGTGATCAGCATTAAAGTTGTCATCATGTATAATCAAGATTGGTTCTCTGAAGTACTAAAAAAAATTAGCGTGTTAATATTGTGAAATGGATACCCTTCAGAAAACCCCTTAAATGGAGGAGCCCGAGACCCCTGGCACCACCATGTAGTGTTTTGTCATTTTTTTGGAGGGAGCAGATGGAATTAACAGTTTGACTATTGCTTATTGTTGAGAGCCAAGTACTGCCAGAGTCTTTTTGGCCCTCTTGGAGTTAGGCTGCATATTTGCTCTGAGGAAAGAGAACATTTAACATTTGAAAATCTCCTGTTTACAAATCTTTGCTCAGAAGAAATCCTGCTTGCTTGCCCTTTGGATATATGCCTTTTAAATGCATTAGGGGAGAAAATCATTTCTTTGTAACCCAAATGAGACTGAGAAGAATTGTGATTAAAAGAGTCTAAGGTCCAGCCCTGGCCGGTTTGGCTCAGCGGTTAGAGCGTAGGCCTGCGGTCTTGAGAGACCCGGGTTCGGTTCCCGCTAAGGGCCCGTACCTCGGTTGCAGTTTGTCACCGGCCCTGGTCGGTTGTGCAGGTGGCAGCCACTCGATGTTTCTCTCTCTCTCTCCCTCCCACTCTACCTGAACAAAAAATGGAAAAATGTCCTTGGGTGAGGATAAAAAACAAAAAAGTGTCTAAGGTCCACACTTTTTATACTGAAAAAGAAAATACCTGTATCCTCCCGTGTCCCCCCACCCCCTTCACTTTTTAGAAAAAAATTTCTGGCTCACAAAATGTAGGTAAAAGCTGAGCCCTATTGGTTCTGAGGTTCAGGGCTTGTTCCTTACTCTTGATTCTTATATTTGGCAGGGGGCTAAAAGTAGAATAGCTAATAACTAAATGTTTTTTGACATTGTACTTGATCATAAATAAAGGTGGAGTGAAAACTTTTGTTTGATTATTTTCTAGAGTTCTGAAAATGTATTTTACTGTGATTAAAGTATCAAAGTATGTGCTGATCTAGAAATGGTAGGCATCC